GCTTACCGTAAAAACGCAGTTTGAAGTAGAATTTGGAACCTGCTGTAGTTTTCAAATCACTTCAATATTGTGTAAAGCTTTGAGACTGATATCCAGATTGAGATCGAATTTCAAAATCTTGACTCAAAATAGTATCATCTCCTTGACTCTTGTAATCGTCTAAATATCCAATCGAGCTATCCTGAGACATGATGGAGCCATGACCCAAAGAGGAATTCGAATTCTCCATCATCCGGAGGCGGTCAGATTGTGATAATGCAAGACTCATTGATCCTTGACTGCTATAAGCATTCTGAGTAAGAGGGCCTTGAGATGAGAGCGAGTGTGAATAACCATTATATGAAGAGTTTTGCTGTTGTTTAGAGTTCTTTCTGCTAGAAATACTGCTTTGAGATAAATCTTGAGTAAAAGGCCCATTTGGAGTAGGAAGCAACGGGATACTAAATTGAGATGATGATGGAATTGAACTCATGTCTGATGGAATATAACCAACTGGGTCGTGTGTTCTAATAAAATCGGAATCGTACGACCTAGTACTGCGACGGTCTTTATATAAAAGGAAACGTTAAAAATGGTACCAGTGAAATTATTAATGTGCCAAAATATTTACTTACTTTCACTAGCAAGAGGTGGCTTTGCAAAAGCCTCACGTGCATCAATCTGATGAGCCAATCCTTGTCGAAACTTATCGTCCTTTCGATAAGCTCTACGAGGTCGACTAAATTGTATCATACTAACTTTCAAATTATTTAAAGGTCCTTCTACTAAACAATCCTTTTCCTTGTAGTGAATAAGAAGATGATGCCATAAAGGATGCTAATGTGGCAAATATAAAAAAAAAGTTAAATATATTTCATTCAAACTGACCTTCAATTATTCACATGTCCTTACCTTGCTTAAGACCTTTGGATTTCCCAAAATCACAACACCATAACGTGCTCTAGTTAAAGCCACGTTCAACCTTCGAGGATCGTTTAAGAAACCAATTCCTTGATGTTCATTACTTCTAACACAGCTCAAAATTATATAATCTTTCTCACGCCCTTGAAATGCATCAACACTAGCTACTTCGATCTCTTTGTATAAATCTTTGCGCAAAGAACCATTAAATTGCATATAACTAACAACGTAACTACGTTGTCCTTCATAAGGAGTAATAATTCCAATTTGAGTTGGCAATATTCCCGATTTTAAAAATTTGGTAACCACTTTTTCACAATTTGAAGCTTCCGTTCTAATAAATAAATGTACAATTGGTATCTTTAATCAAAAGGTTGATTTTATGAGGTGTCAACATCTTTATACTGACCGATTCAAATAAGATGTTCCGCTGCTAGAAATTTCTTCTTGACCCAAATTTGAGTGAAAGAACATGGGAGTCTCCGGTGCTGGCCATGGAAAATCAACGTGTTTACGCAAACGTTCTTGGGTCGTGACACCGTTTTGCAAGGATCCCTCATAGAACATATTACTTGGAAATTCAGATAAACAAGGATGCATACGATATTGAACTTGTAAACGAATAGGCCGGATGCCTAAAATGACAAGCCGCTCGAAAAGTGATTGGCATAAACCAGCTCTAGCAGCCTTTTTGTTCATTATGACAGGACCAAGCTGTTGATGATCACCTACAAGGACAGCTTGCTTGCAACCGAGAACAAGTGGTATCATACACTCAGGTTCAGTTGCTTGTGTGGCTTCATCAATCAACACGGTACGAAACTTGAATTTGGATAGGCGCGGATCTCCGGCACCAACACATGTGCAAAGTATAACATCAGCATTCTATATATATGAAATAGAGATATAGCCATTAATTTTAAGTTCAAATTATATAAAAAAATTTTTCCTTATTTTGAAAGTTAATATAGGGGTTCTCTTATTTTCATACCTGTAAAATCTCTCTTTCGCAGGCACGTTTCAAAACTTTATATTTTTTCTCATCAGAACTACTTAATTCCCCTTGTTCAGTCTTTAATTGAATTAATTTTTGTAATTCAACATTTGTATCGTTATTATGCACTTGTTCATGCAAAGTAAGAAACGACACTGGCGAATCTAACGCCTCACGTGACTTTGCAGTGAGACGAACTACTTTAAGTCCGGTTGCATGTATTTTTTCCGTCAATTGATCGACAGCGACATTTGACGGTGCACAAACCAACACTTGACCAGGATTCATCTTGGCAAGGTGGTAAACGATAGTAGCCGACGTGACAGTTTTTCCGGTTCCAGGTGGACCTTGAATAAGGCTAAGTGGCTTTTGCAGAACGCTTTTCACAGCATATACTTGTGAATGGTTCAGCTCTGGCAAGTTTGGAGCGGAAAATCTTGTTGGAATAAAGTACACAGATATTAAACGAATAAACATTGATCAAAATTGAAAATTCCTATAAATGTATGAATGATACAATACAAACCTCTTTGGCATTTGAGTTCTCAAAACTTGTGGTTCCACTTCATGACCTAGAAGCTTATGATATATATATCCACTCACTGAAGTCTCGTCAACTGCAAATGTTTTCATTGCTGCTTGCATTCTGTCAAAGCTAGTTGATTTCCACACAAAATCCACGGAGAAATTATGCGTACACTCTACCGGTGTATTATCATTTCGTCGTAATTCCAAGCCAACTTCATCACTAACATCTAAATATAAGATTAATATACCAATTGTAAAGATGATTATAAACACATCAAACACGTAATTTGTCGCATGATCACTTACTATTTGGAATTTTGATGACATGACCAACGCATTCCCATGATTGATGCAATTCACCCCTATATCTCAGTCTTAACTCATCTCCAACAGCTAAACGAACCTCTAACAATTCCGTCAATATGTAAGTTTAAAAATTACAATAATAAATAAATTAAATAGCATGCAAATGGAAAGTGTAATACCTCCAGATTCTAACTTTGGTAAATAGAACCATGCTATACGTTTTTGATTTAAACCGATATCCCAACGAACAACAATATCATCCTGAGTTTGAGATTCTTTTAACTTTTTGTCATAATCAGCCTCCATTTTAACCAAAGGTCCGAAAATATTTTGATATTGATAAGCATCTTCATATCTAAAAAACGGTAAAAAATGGTAAATATGTATATATATATTAATGTATAATCGACGATATCAAACAGCACATAAACATTACCTTAATAAGACAGGTTGAGGTTCATCGTCAATACCGGGTTTTTCCAAATCTTCAAGTGTTGCTTCCGTGTTATCTTTCCATAATTCCTCGAGTTTGTTGATCTGATGCGCTGTGATCTGCCGAGCACGAAGTTGTTCTTGCTCACTAGGGACTTTAACAAGCCATGGAAGGAAACATCGATCATCTATAAGGGGAAGCCATTGGGAAGTATCCCAATTCATATCCTTGCTACTTGGCATTGCGGCACATGGTTGTCTATGTAAAAAAAAAAATCATAATTGATTTATATAAGATCTGTTGAATCATCACGTATATTTTCAGTCAATACTTACCGACATAATAATACGACGACAGTATCACTTTTTGCAGGAATAAAACCAAGCAAAAAAACATTTCTACACCCACAATTATAACATTCAAGTGTAGTTTCACCAAGAGTCGAGTCAGGGTGCAAAGCAACTTCTTTATGTTTGGCTCGAACAAGATGGTTAATTATATGAGAACCAGATGTATTTCCTCGAGAATTACAAAACCACTTGCTACAAGTAACACATCTAGCCACGGAACTCACTGCGTGTATTCCGCAGTACCTTAAAAATATCAGAAATCAAAACGATATTAAGAAACATATTTAAAATTATATAAATCCACACCTACACTTTTGAAAATGGTAAACGGGTACCTGCAAGCATGTTCTGGTAATTCTCTTTCAACAATTGCTAAATCTTGAAATGGGTCAATTTCGTCAACACCTGTTAAATCAGGCTCAATAAACTGCGACTGAGAGCCGTCGAGAGTTTGTTGCGAATTTAAAGTTGAGTCAAGGGAAAACTCATTATAATCATACTGAGACGCCTGAGTATCGCCACCAGAATATTCAAGAAAAGAGAAATTTTCATCCTGGGTATTTTGAGCATTAAACCGATCCATATTAAAATCGATACAAAGGGTCTTGAAAATAACAAACAGTCCAGAAGTGTCAAGCTTTCATACGTATATATACCATTAATCATGATTATACTACGTTTCACAAGTCAGACCGAACTTAAACATCCGGACTATTTCGGATAACTAAACATGCTTTCGCGAACGTGCATAAAGTTGTACAAATTGAAACCAAGTAATAGAACTTTAGAACTCTATATTTTTGAACAGAAAAAAAAAAAAAATGGAAGAACAGACTGCTCGCGCAGTTGACGCTGAAATGACCAGCAAAGATTATTATTTTGATTCTTATGCGCATTTTGGTGTGTACGGTAATCTTTTTTTAACTTTTTTATATTTTTTTTTTTAATTTTTTTTTTTTTTTTTTTTTACCAATTTTAAGGGATTCATGAGGAAATGTTGAAGGATGAAGTGAGAACACTTTCTTATCGCTCGTCCATTTATCAGAATCGCCATCTCTTTAAAGATAAGATCGTGCTAGACGTTGGCTGTGGAACTGGTATTCTATCGATGTTTGCCGCAAAAGCTGGTGCTAAACACGTTTATGGGGTAAGATCTCATATAGTCATTGGCTTGTTTAAATCTTGAATTTGAAAAAGAATTATTTCGGTAATATATTTATAATCCTTTTTATGTATTTATAATCTTTTTTATTCCAGATTGATATGTCAAATATTATTGATCAAGCGCGTCAGATCATAATCGATAACAATTTAGATGATAGTAAGATATTACTTGACTGTAATTTTATCAAACAGTTGAGCGTGATAATCGATCATCTATTTCCTCGTTAGAAATTACGTTGATCAAAGGCAAAATGGAAGAAGTCGAATTACCGGTTGATCAGGTAGATATTATCATATCAGAGTGGATGGGGTATTTTTTATTGTACGAATCTATGTTGGATACCGTCTTGGTTGCTCGGGACAAATACCTGGTAAGTTCGCATACACGTTAACAATGAATGTAATTGTTAATATACTTATTCATAATACTTTAATTTATATACAGAAACCTAATGGTCTCATATTTCCCGATAAAGCAACGATATATCTGGCTGCTATCGAGGATGGTGACTATAAAGAAGAAAAAATTGGATGCAAGTAGTGTTTTTTATTTATTAGTTAAATAATAATATTCGTTAATTAACATTCTTATATATAATTCTTATATTTGATTCTTATATATAATTCTTATATATAATTCTTATATATAATTCTTATATATAATTCTTATATATAATTCTTATATATAATAATTCTTACATATAATAATTCTTACACGTATTTCTTTAGTTTGGGATAATGTTTATGGTTTTGATTTCAGTTCAATTAAATCGGTCGCACTTAGGGAACCCTTGGTAGACACAGTTGATAGTAAAGCTATAGTTACTAGTTCGTTTGCTATTAAGGTAATTTTACAAGCTAATTTTTGATAAACTTATTATAAAGCTCTTTATTTAAAACTTGACTACATTTTTAAATTTGTTTTTGTAGGAAATTGATATTAATACAGCTCAAAAATCAGATTTAACCTTTTCCGCACCTTTTAAATTAACCGCCATAAGAGATGATTACATTCATGCTTTTATTGCATGGTTCGATATTACCTTTTCAGCATGTCATAAACCGATCCGCTTTAGCACAGGTTTGTTAACACATTAATTAGCATTAATTAACATTAATTAGTAGATATATATGACAAATTTCAATTACTAATATTTTAGAACTGATTTAACAAGTATTAATAATTATTGCAATCATTTAGGGCCACATTCCAAATATACTCATTGGAAACAAACAGTTTTTTATACAACTGATTCTATTACTATCAAGAGCGGTGAAACTGTTACTGGTATGTTATCTTGCGCGCCCAATAAGAAGAATAACCGAGATTTAGATATCGAAATATCGTATGAATTTTCAGGCGAAGCGAGTAGTTGTTCAGAGACTTGTAAATATAAGATGTGAGTATATTTCTATTTAGTTAAATTTAAATTTATGATTTCGGGTTAAAACCTTTTTATTTCAAATTATTCATATATACAATATTGACCCAGGAATTAGGTATTAAATTCATCATGGTAATAGTGTGAACATTTAGATAGTGAATGCGTGCAATACAATGTATGCTATAGATTTTGTACATCGTAATTTACATGATTTACTAATATATAAAGTTTCTGGTTGGAATTTTGAATAAAATTTATGATAATCTCTAATCAAGAACTTATTCTTTAGAATAAATAATTTTTTTTAGACACAATATCAAATTTTTAATAAAATTTAAATAAAGATAATTTACTCGATAATCTTTTTACTTGAATTAAGATTATCAATCAGTATGAAATATTAATTACTACATATTTTGTAAATTTTTCTAATCGGTGTACAATATTAAAACTTTAAATAAAATATTAGATATAATATTTTTTAAATAAATAAATGCATAAATACATCACTTTTTTTTTTGGTTTATTATTATTATTTGTTGAAGTTTAAGCTTTCACAAATCTTAATTTACAATGCTATTAAACACTTACGTGTATACATCATATATCAAAAATGTTGGTTTTTTTTTTTTTTTTTACCAATTTTAAGGGATTCATGAGGAAATGTTGAAGGATGAAGTGAGAACACTTTCTTATC